AAAAAAAAAAAAAAAAAGAACTATTGATCTAGTCATTGAAGTGCTCATAAATGAAACATTTATTCAGACATTTGACTGATTATCAATTGTGAATATAATAACCGTGTCATGCCTTATATGTATGCATTGTTTCTTTATTTTTCTGTGCATCCTGGGCGGTTTACCTTCAAGGGAGATATTATGTTTCCTATCAGCTGATGGGAAGTTGATAGGGGGTGTAAATTTACTAATTAAACTGAGCAAGTGACACAGGACTAAAACCTCCTATTCAGTATCATATGACTATGTTTGTGTACATAAAACACATTCATTTCTCTGTAGCTACATCTAGAATTATGTATACATCAAACTTTTTCATATATTCTTTTTCTATTGAAAAAAGTATTTTTTAAAGTTTAAATAAATATTGTGAATATAGTTATTATAGATTAAATATTATATATCATTGCAATTATTGTAAAAAACATTTACGGTGTTAAACTTGGTTATTAGAGTGTCCTTTTTCATGGAACAGATCATTTTTTTAGTCTCAAGAGTGTCGGTTCAACCAAAGTTTCATTGTGTTCAGGTGTTCTTTGATTTCTATTATTTTACAACACACATGCTCTTTTTCAAGAATTGTGTAAAGTCAAATGATTTTTTTTTCTTATATGAACTTAATTTTACAAAAAAAATTTAGAAAAAGTTATTGTACTGAAAAAAAATAAAGCTAAAATTTTTGAGGAAATTCCGATCTAAAACTAAACTTAGTTCATAGGGAATATTGGGCTCTGAGAATTTATTGCGCTCCTGCTTCTATGAATATTTCTAATAAATCTTGACTAATATATTCCTTGATTAATGAACTAATTATAATTTACAAAAAATATTTTTTTTGTTTTGTTTAAATGAGTTCATAGTTTTTTCAATCAAGCAATTCAAAGATTTAATTACTATTAATAATTAGTAAAGTGATTAAAATAAATTTACTAGTCAAATGTTATTTTATTATATTATAACAGTTTTAGTATGTTTACATTGTAGTCTAAGCAGCTCAGCACCAACCGAAATAATAGTTCCGAATTTCAGTCTTGTTCATACAAAACTGAAAAATGAATTTTGAGTTCAAAAGGCTTTAAAAAAAGTTTTATCCCTTGTAGTTTGATATGCATTTTTTTTAATTGTTTAAGAAATTCATTAAATTTATTTTCATCTGGGACAGTTTTTTTCTATGGAAGAAACTTGTCATATCTGATGAAGATACCTACTATTTAAATAACAAATACATAAGCTTATTTATATAATTATTTAAACTTTTTTAAATCATTTTTGTCATAACCCAGCTTCATTTTAAATTTATAAATCCCACCCAAATATGCTTGCAAATGTCTGTTTATAAATAGAAAATAATTATCATACTCTATAAATCCTATAGTTTATTCTTATTTCTTCTTTCTGCCTCAACAGCTACCACAGGATCACCTATCCATAGCAACTAACAATTTCTAATCTTTAGGGTTTTCAGGTCATTTTCAACGTCGTTGAGCCATTTAGTAGCGAATCAACCTCTGGGACGTAACCCCTCGAGGGTTCTTAATTATTCTTATATGCACTTAGTAATTATTCATAAATCAAATAATTTATCAGATATTTTATTTTTGTAAGCAAATCTAATGAGTAAACTAAAGGTTTTTGAAGGTTCTTTAAATTTCCTGACAAAGCTAATTAGTGATTTTATATGTTTAACAATTTTATTTTTTATATTTATCATATTTTTACCATTTATTGAAAATATATTTGCGTAAAAACAAATTTTTGTACATAAACTAATTTTTATAGAATGCCTAAAAGATTTGAAACAGTGAAAATTTTAATATCTGAAAATAAAAGTTATGATGTATTAGAAATTTGTGTATAAAAATGATAAAGGATTAAAATGTATAAAAATAAACATGTATATGTTATTTAGCAGTTAATATTTATTGCAATAGAAAATTAAAAATTTAAGTTCTAAATTCATTAATTTCCGATGTTTAAATATTTTATGTAATTACATAATATTAAATCATAATATTATTATTAAAATAAATAGAAATATATACTACGAAAAAGATTAATTTGTCTATTCTTTTTAAATTTTGTGGCATATTACTATCAGTTAAAATTTTGAAAAAAACATAATTGATCAAAAAATAATTGTTGTAATTACTTTAGCACCTTTGATGTTAAAATTTTCCTCAGTCGGGAAGGAAAAATATTTTATGTGAAGTGAATCAATAAATTATCACTGCTATGGCATAGTAAAAAAAGTATAAAACGTTAACTTTTATTAAGTTTGAATGTAAATAATTATTTATTTAAGAGTTTGATGATTTCAGTTATCAAAGCAAGTTAAAAGCAGATATACAACAGGAAATATATCAAGTTTAGAAATAGTTTACAAATTAAATAATGGTATTAAATATTATAATATAGGTGTAACAAATTTCTTATTACAAATAACATTTTGAAAAAATCTCATGATAACCTTTCATTTATGCTAATCTTTTAAATCAAATATTCTCCAGATACTTAAATATGGAGAAACTAGTATTTACTAATTCACAGTATTTACTAAATAATTAAATAACACACTTGATGCACTGAAATGTTTAAACAAGATTGGATTTTAGTTATCTAAAACTAGATTTTTTACATAAAAAGCATCTACACTTTAAAAGAATACAAAAATATATAAAAAATTAAAAAAACACTGAAGTGAGAAACACTGATTGTGAGAAAATCATAATAAAAAAAAATGGTATTTGCACAATTTAAAAAATTTTTAACTTTATGTTGAACAAAACTTAAAATTTATTTTAAATAAACAATATCTATAGTTTAAAATTGTGTCATTAGTTAAATATTTATATGCTTAAATATTAGTGAAATGTTTATATGCTTAATTCGTTTGCATAATTAAAATAGTTTGAAACAGATTTCATGCAGTAATGCATTGGCATGCCATCTCATTGTAAAAAAAACATTGTATTTTTAATTTTTTTTTAATATATTCAGCATTGTACTTAAATGAACCATAATATAACATACATGTTTGTTCCTACTATAGATGCAATTTAACATTTGAAATATTTATAATATTTTACTTAGTTAAAACCAAAGGTCCCACATACGTGGACCTAAAACTATTAGTCCCTTAGCAGTATAATTCCTATTTTGTTTACCTTATTATGACTTATGGCAGTAAAATAGATATTTGGAACTTTAAAATATTTTTTTCTGCTATATTCCTTCATACTTCAGTAGTGAAGAGGTTAAAGTAAAAGGCTGGTGTGCTCAAAGCCAACTAATATGAACAATTGAGCAACATGTAAGTAAACAATTGAGCCTCTTGCAAAAAAAGGAAAAATTAACTAATCATTCTACTATGCTATGTGTGAAAAATTTAAGTTAAGACTATAAAGATCTTATAAACAAGAAAATAATTAAATTGCTTTTCAATATACCTTCGATATACCAACAATTATAACCCAATAAGTTTTAGGACAAACATTTTATTGATTGATTTAGAGCATTTACTTGAATAATTTTACAGTAGTTTCTAAAACTGATATTATAGCAGCAAATAATAAACATGTCATATTTCTCTTTAATAATCAATATGATTTACCCAATAATAGTAAATACGATTTCTAATTTAATAGCTCATTGATTTAATAAGAATTTTATAAAAAAAATTCTTAATAATTTGACAAATAATTCTTAAATAATAATAAAAGTAAATACAAAACTTTATAAAAAAAAATTAAGAAAATTACAAAATCAATAATAGCGACATTTTATTTATTATAATAAAATATTCTTAATTCAAAACTTTCAAATTTTAAGGTAAATAGCACTAATAACAAATTTAAATAGCTCATTTAAAATTAACAAGAATATCATTAATTATTTGTTAATGTTCAGACCAATTAATTATTTTACAAAATAAAAAGTGTCATTTAATTAAAACCAGCAAAAGTGATGCCTTTTTTAATATTTTTTCCTTCTCAATTATTTGTAAACAATAAAAAGTTAATGGATAGTTTTAATAAGACCTATAAAAATGATATATATTTAAATATTTTTTCTTTCAGCATTTATTTGTAAACAATAAAAATTTATTAGTAAACATTTTTATCGATTTGTACTTACCAATTGTTCCTTAACGTACATTGGGTCCGACCTGTTATTTTCAACGGATGATAAAACTGCAAAATTATTGTTTTTTGTAATAATATCATCTTTAAGAGTATAATGGTAAGGGACCGCATCTGCAACTACGGGTGTTTGGTTGTACCTGTCATACAATTTTTCATTTACTCGCCAAACCGGGGGACTTTCTACTACTTTCTGCAAAATACCCTCACTTCTTAAGTTATACAAGACACTATTAACTACTTTCTTAGGCTGCTGTACAGCCCTACAAATATCGATAAGTTTTACATCTTTATGGTAGTTAGCTTGAAAAAAATCTAAAAGCTGCCGTCTTAAATCAACATTAGACATAATTTTGATGGGGTAAGTGAGTTAAGGAAGCTTAGCTTTAATTCAATCAACCAAGCTTAGCCCTATTATATTATTTTTAATTACTTTTCACATAGCATAGTTACGAGCGCACTTAAATAAGCTAAAACACAACACACATAGAAATCAGTGCAGCAGACGGTATAATGCACACACAACAACGCCAATAGCGTTTAATGCTAGGCAGAGCAGTTACAGTGAGAGAAAGAAAAACTTCCTCTACATGTATTGACCCAGCTAAGTTCTCATTGGATGAAGTAAAATTTGGATTTTCGCACTAACACATGCACTCATTGGATAAAAACAATAAAAATAAAAACACGATTCACAAATTCGATTAAAGAAAAATACCTCAGTATAAAAAATTATTTAAAAACAATGAGTCAAGAAAACAGTAATCAGTGAAAGAAGATTTCTTTTTTATTACGATTCGAACTGGGGATGTTCTGTTTTCCCGAGAAACAAAAACCAAAAATAAAACAAATTTAGTTAAAAATAAACTTGGCGCAATACTTCTTTAAGAAAGTACTGTTATATGAATAATCAACTATACGTTAATTTATTCACGTAATTCGTTTCAACAATCGGCTTTTCAAAAGTATTTGCTATCTGAAGTATCTTAACCACCCAATTCTAGAACTATTCTGTGAGAGCGTAAGCTAGCCCTATAACTAGGATAAACATTGATCATCTTGACTTTTTAAGCATATTCTCATAAATCTGCAGTTTTCATGACAACGGATGTTCATAAAGAGTTGATAATAGTTTCACACCTGTGAAATCACCGCACAACACGTGTCTGACCCTTGAGACTCACAAATGCGCTACTTTGTGTATTCGTTTCTGCGCCCCCATCTCGAACTACGAGGGATTCGAGTTTGTTTAAAATTGGTTTGATATTAGCATGGCAGTACTGTGATTCCAGCACTTTCAATTTTTAGAATACTCACGTATATTTATCAGGGATGATAAGTTATTAATATGTCGACCATTTTCGATTACAAATAAAATGTGATTTAAAACGTAAGTTTTATTATTTTCAGTTTAGTAAAAATATAAAAATTTTACATTTAGAAGTATTGCAATTTACTTTATCAGGGGAAAAATATACTTGAGGGTGCCCCTTGGCGAAATTGGCGATTTATGTTTGGCGTCATACTTGTTTGCCCGGAACGCCGTGGTAACCCACAAACAGGACATTTATATCTATTACTAATTAAACCTTCATTCATACACCAGTCAATCACTGTTTTTTTTTTCATTGTTATTAAAATCGTACAGAAACTTAAGATTTATCTTATTGACAGTATTCATTTTTAGTACCAGAAGCAAAAATAACCTTACCAGCCGGTATCCAAAGTAGAACTAACGGATCTCTGAAATTACATTTAAAAATTCATTTAAAAACAACGCTAAATTCTAAACTAATCAGAATCACGATTAAAATCTAAACCAATCAGAATCACGATTGGTTTTCAACATCGCCCAGCTTGGCGATCAATCGCGATCACAACTTGGCGGGGGCACCCTCAAGTATAGTCTACCCCTTTATCAGACACTGAACTTTATTGAGAGAAAAAAACTTTCTAAATAATTTTAACTTATTCATCGATGCATCCTTTTTCAAAAATGTACTAAAAGCGTTTCCTCTTCCAAAGATACTGAAGTTTTTCAGAACTAACTTTTATTCTTTATAGTCTATTAACGGAAATATTGTATTTGTAACGCTTTCAATCTAGTTTAGAGTTTATTAGCAGAGAAATCTCCCTTGGTGATATTTTTGCACTAGATTATGTGACCGAACATACTCCGTTCGAAACGCTGTTTCTGTTCAGTGATCTTAATGTATTTGTACATGAAGTGTTTTTAAGAAAAGTTAATTTTCGATTTAACTTTATTTCCGCACACAAACCCTTACATATTTAAATACTAGACTAAATATGGTGTGAGGTATTTGACAATGGAAACTTATGATTAAATTATTGTATCAAAAAGAAATTAAATAACTTTTAGTGTTATAATTTTTAATATTTTTTGTTACAATATTTATGAACTTTTAAGGGAAAAAATAACATATAAGTGTTTCGCAGTTTAAAAAAAAAAATCAGAAAATATCATAGTCTATCGTATCTTGCGGCTTACGAACTTAACATTGAAGCAATTCCATTTAGTTGAAGAAAATATCTGCTATCTAACCGCAGCCAACTTCGCTGTCAATTTCACTTTTTGTTGCACAAGAAAAAATGCTTTTAAATAAACTTCATTAATATTTTCAGAAATTTCTATTGTAATATTAAAAAAATCCAGTCTCTTTAATTAATTCTGAACATTCATAATAAAAGTAGCCTACTTTCTTCACAAATAAGTAACATTTTAAAATTCGTTTAATAGAAAGGAATTATTTATCACATTCTAGTTGATTCCTCCAAAATTTAATATTTTTTATAATTTATACATTCGATAAATACCTAATTATAAGGCCATAATGAATGGGAGAGATTCAGAAGAGAGATAAACATTTAAATTCAGATTATGTATAGTAAAAAACGAATATATTTGATAATAATCAATATGGCAGTATTATACTATATTTTCGTATGCGAAATAGGTTTTTTTTTTTTTTAAAGTGATATATAATAAAATTTTAAATTAAATCTCAGAAGTGATATCCTGATTCAAACATTTCCATTCGAATTGGCAGAAGAATATTGTTTCATTTCTGGCTGTAAGCTCTCTTAGTATGTCCGTTTGATGTGATGATTTTATATTTGGGAATGATACAAATCGTAATCTTTTAATCACGTTTAACCAAAGCTTGCCTCATCCTCATTTTCCCCCCTGATTAATCATGTGTAACAAGTAAGGAAGGTAGTACATTTTATTTTTAAGCAGCGTAGAGCAGCCGACGTAGTTCTGATTACGACTATCAATCTTCAAATCCGCAGCCTTGTAATTCTGAACCCACCCCAGAAGCCTTTGGAGGACTTTTTGATAGAGCTAACCCGCATTTGCGTTACACCGGGCACAAAACCACGAAAACCTTCCACGGTTAGCCCGGTGATAAGGGGATTCCAACTCATGATCCGTTTACCAGGATATTTTACGCCAGCACTGTTGTCAGTGCGAGCAGGGAGCGGAGTTCGTATCGATCAGCCACCGCTGGAATTCGAACCTGGGTAACTTCATTTGAAGGCGAATTCTCTATCCCGTGAGCCACCACCTCTCAGTTATTTTATTTCATTTTATAACAGGCGTTGAACAGCCGACCCAATTTTGGGTTTACGACTACTAATGTTCAACTGCGTAGCCTTGTAATTTTGAACCCAATCCAGAAGACAAGGGAACTCCTGGCTAAAGTGTTGGAAAACAATTGCCTTCGTGAAGGACGTTTTAATGGAACTAACTCGCATTTACGTTACATGGAGAGGAAAACCACGAAAACCTCCCACGGTTAGCCTCACGGCAAGAGGGCTCTAATCCATGATCCGTCTGCCACTGAGTAAATTTTACGTCATCACTGTGGTCGGTGCGAGCCGGGTACTGAATTCGTATCGATCAGTACCAGCCTCGCTTGGAGTTAAACCTGGGATCACCTCATTGGAAAGCGAACGCTCCATTCCCTGAGCAACCACCCTCAATTTTGTTTTATAACTGCCGTTGAATAGCCGACCGAATTTTCAGTTTACGACTACCGATGTTCAACTCCGTATCCTTGTAATTTTGAACCCAATCCAGAAGACAAGGGAACTCCTGGATTTAGTACAGGGAGAAATTTGCCTTTGTGGTGGACTTTTTTGATGAAAGTAACCCGTATTTGCATTTCGTGGTGAAAACCCACCACCCTACCTTGATGTTTCCCTAAGGTTAAGTGCCATCACTTAATTTTCCCTATATTAATATATTTTAGGTTTAGTGCCATTGCTAGGCACTCCTTGTACGGATGTTTCTCATACTATACCCTTATCGGGCATTTTGATATGATAATAACTGTCTATTATTTAAAATAACCAAATAAGCTATATAAAGAAAAATTTGTATTTTCATACTAAAATTAGAATTATTGATTAAAATTTTGATTTTCTTTAATCATTTACATTTTCTCTAAAAGAAAAAAAAAACATGCCAGTGCTCATAATCCAATTATGATAATCTTAAGACCTATAGCCCAAAACAAGACAAAAGCAACAACCCCTTTCTTCATATACGTCTGATATTCCAACAATTTTCCAACAACGCCTCAAATAATACTAATTTAAAATAAGAAACTATACAACACTAAAAAAATTAAAACATGCTTTCTCAACAAAGGGACATTTAAATTCATGTTCTTTTTTCTATTAAATTTTGGGAAGCTTTTTGCGAGAAAATATCTTCGATCGCTATTATTTAAAAACTTTTAGAAAAATATGCGAAAAATTTTGAAAATTATAACAAAATGTTTGTCATCAGGTTAGAAAGTTTATTTTTTTCATGAAAAGGTAAGAGATTTAGCGTACTCTGTATATTCGACAACAAGTAATGTTTCCAATTTTCCATCAGGTTCTACTAGGGGGGTTCAAATATTACATAAAATTTATTTTCAAAGGGGAAAAAAAAGCAAATCTTTTTGTTCAATGTTTGAACAGCTTCTCCCTCGAAAGCCTAAAAATAAATAAATAAAATAAATAATTCAGGAATTGTAATAAAAGAATAATTATACGTTTAGATTAAACGTTAAAAATACCGCATAACGTATGTTTTCAGACATCTGTATGCTCATTCAGATCGATTATTTCATCGAAATATAAAAAATTTCAGTAACGGGTAGCGTCAAACGTGACTGTCTTTTGACATGATATACTAATGAAGAGCAACATGTAAAAAAGAAATAATGTTTCTTTCTTTCTTTTTTCTTCAAAAATGTTGGTTTCATTCTCATAATCCAACCAAAACAATCAACATTTAGTTAACTTTTATAATTGTTTCGACATTTTAAGTTTGTTTATAAATTTTACATTTACGCAGTTTGTATTCATTGTAATTTGCTTACATATTTATTAACCGTTTGAGAGTTGGAAACTCATGCGCTGGTTTTACCTTGATACGCTAATTTCTATTGAATAACATTCGAAAAAACTATTCAGTAGTCATTGCGTTTTTTTTTCTCAATTTTTCAAAGTCATGCATTTATATAAAGGTTACAGATTGAGCAATGATGTATGTTCCGTTTTATATGATAAACTTTTG